GTTAACACATATATAGTTTGACACACCCCCATAGGCAAGGTGGGGAAGAACAAGGGGTCACAAGACCAGTCAAGAAAAGCAAAGCAAGCTCAGGGTGGATCACAACGTCACCACACACTCCGAGCACAAGCAAAGGGCCACAAGGCCAGTTCACATGCAGAGGTATATATGCAACAACAACAATATAGTGATTACTACCTAGCAGAAGTAGGCATGCAGGTATACAATATAAATCACAGTACAAGCAAAGTCAAGAGGTGAGCAAGTGAGGCCAAGAAGGAACAAGTCCTAGAATAGTACAGAACCGCTGATGATCACGAGGCTGAAGTGCCTTGGTGAAGATATCAGCAGTGTTGGCCTAAGGCCACGTAAGCAAGACGAAGCTGTCCACGCTGCTGCAACTTTCGAGCAAGGAAGTACGCAGAGCGATGTGCTTCGTCCTGTGTTCCAGTCGGTGCTCCTGACACAAGGCAATCATGGCCTTGTTGTCGACGTAAAGAACTGGAGGAGAACGAGGCTGTGAAGAATGAGGGAATGAAGAAGAGAGGAGGAGGGATTGCACTAGCAGCAGTTGGCATACATATAGGAAACCCTAATTGGGTTGTATTCGCTATAGAGTACCCCACTGCAGGCTAGACAATTATAACATTCTGACACACCCCCATAGCCAAAGTGGGGTGTAATCAGCACAATGAGCAAGCAGGCATAGAGCAGGAGTTCACAATAGCGAGCAAAGCTAGAGTTACTCATAGCGGGCAAATGAGGAGGAGGAGGAACTGTGGAGAGAGAGAAGATGGGAGGCAACGATTGAAGCTGCAGAGGCACGGGCACAGGAGCGGCTGACTTAGTGGCTACCGAAGCAAGGGCGACGGACTACTGGAGTAACTGGCTCCGCGGCTATAGACGAGCGGCAGGAGCAACGGACCCACTGGCAACTGGTGCAACAGGCTCACTGGCTACCGAAGCAAGGGCGACGGACTACAGGCGCTGCAGGCGACACGACAGCTACCTTCACACAATCTCCTCTAGCTGCCCCACACCCTCAACACACACCCCCTGCTCAAACCCTAGTTCCACTCCCACAGCACCCCCCTTTCACACACCCCTTGCTACACCCTAGGTTCACTCAAACCCCACCCCCTAGCACCACTCCGTCGACTCCCACACACCCACCCCCTTCAGCGGCAGCTTCAGCAATGGGAGACAGAGGAGGAGGAGCAGGGGAGACCACACACCCGCCACCCCCTACTCGCCACCCCCAAACCCTAACACATGGCAGGGCGGGATGGCGGGTAGGGAGGTTATGGGGGGGGGGGGGGAAGGGGGGGGCCGACGCGCGGCCTCCCAGGGCGCCAAAGCAGGCGGCAGAAGGGGCGACGCTCGCCCCCGCCCCCCAGGTCGCCCCTCCCGTCGCCTGTCAAGGCGACCTGAGGGGGCCGCGTGCGGCCCCCCAGGGAGCCGCGACTAGCGACGGGAAAAGAGGGGGGGGCGGTGCACGTGCCCCCGGTGCGCCGCGACAGGCGACGGAGCATGGCCGGGGCGGGGTCGAGGCAGGGCTGAAAGGGGCGGCGACGGGGCCACAAGTGGCGGCGACGGGGCCGCTGGAGGCGGCGATGGGGCCGATAGGGGCGGCGACGGGGCCGCTACGGGCGGCGACGGGGCCGCTGGTGGCGGCGTCGGGGCCGATAGGGGCGGCGACGGGGCCGCGAGGGGGCCGCGAGGGGCCTGAAAGGTCGGCGACGGGGCCGTTAGGGGCGGCGACGGGGCCGCAAGGGGCGGCGACGGGGCCGCTGGAGGCGGCGACAGGGCCGATAGGGGCGGCAACGGGGCCGCGAAGGGGCCGCGAGGGGCCTAGAAGGGCGGCGACGGGCCGCTAGGGGCGGCGACGGGGCCGCGAAGGGGCGGCGAACGAGGCTGCTGGAGGCGGCGACGGGGCCGATAGGGGCGGCGACGGGGCCGCGAAGGGGCCGCGAGGGGCCTAGAAGGGTGGCGACGGGCCGCTAGGGGCGGCGACGGGGCCGCGAAGGGGCCGAGAGGGGCCTCGAAGGGCGGCAACGGGGCCGCGAAGGGCGACGACGGGGCCGCTAGGGGCGGCGACGGGTCCGCGAAGGGGCCGAGAGGGGCCTCGAAGGGCGGCAACGGGGCCGCGAAGGGCGACGACGGGGCCGCTAGGGGCGGCGACGGGTCCGCGAAGGGTGGCGACGGGGCCGCTAAGGGCGGCGACGGGGCCTCTAGGGGTGGCGCGACGGGGCCGCTAAGGGCACGGGACGTGACTAGAGGGCGGCCCACGGGGCGTGCAACAGACAGTTGCAGCGGAAGCAGTAGGGTGGGCCCACACGCCAGGAGCGTAGATGCTCTGATAGCATGTGAAGAATGAGGGAATGAAGAAGAGAGGAGGAGGGATTGCACTAGCAGCAGTTAGCATACATATAGGAAACCCTAATTGGGTTGTACTCGCTATAGAGTACCCCACTGCAGGCTAGACAATTATAACATTCCGACAGAGGCGGCCCTCCCAAGTCGGTCAGCAGGTACGTGAGCCAGCGTAGCTCCTGTGCACGTGGGCGAGTCTCTTAGTGTCAGCAGTGACAAACACCAAGTCGTCGACGTACACGAGGATGTAGAATGGCGGCAGCGAAGTGTCGGTGCTTAGAAACAGCGACGGGTTAGCAGTCAAAGGAGCAAACCCAAGAGCCGCAAGCGTCGTCCTCAGTATGTCGTGCCAATCGCGAGGCGCCTGACGGAAACCGTAGACTGGCCACCGGAGGCTCTACCGGGTACCTGCAGGAAACGACCCAGTGAAGCCAGGTGGACGGCGCAGCCAGATCTCCTCGTGAAGGCTACCCTGCAAGAAAGCTGTGCTGAAGTCAAGAGAGTGAAGCTCGTAGTGACGCTGAGCGGCGACGTGCAGCAGCACCCGAAGAGTGGTCATCTTCGGGGTAGGGGAGAAGGTCTGGAAGAAGTCAACTCCCTGTCTCTTACTGAAGCCTCGTGCAATGTAACGCGCCTTAAAGACAGGCGGAGAGCCCGGTGGCCGCTTCACCCTGAAAATCCACATGCCACTGACGATGTTCGCTACAGGTGGGGGAACTACGTCAACGTAATTGCCCGTGAACTTCAAGGATGCCATCTCTGCGTCCATGGCTGACTGCCACTGAGAGGAGTAGGGACCCTCAATCGCCTCTGTGTAAGAGCGCGGGGTCGGGATGTCTGGTGCATCCGGGTCTCCCTCATGTGCAATCAGCATGGACACGAGATGAGGTACAGCAGCTGCAAAACACTCAAAGTCCTCCTGCCTATCCTCAAGGACGTCTGTGCGAAGAGCACAGTCACCTCCGACGGACGGAGGACAAGCAGACTCAGACTCAGCAACAAGACTAGTGGTGTAGTCGAGACGACAAGCAGCAGCAAAGTCAACAAGCTCAGCGACTAAGGCAGACGCGGCAGTAGACTCAAACGAAGGGTCAGTGACAACAGTGGCTAGGAGACGCGTGACAGTAAGACTGGCAGCACGAACTAAGGTCAGACTCAGGGTCCGGACCGGCAGGAAGAGAGGACGCAAGAGGAGACGGCAGGGGAACACGCTGTGGAACAGATGAAGGACGATGTGCCATAGTGTGCGTGCCGGGTACAGGAGGAGGACGCTCACAAGGAACATGACGACCAATGCGACCTGCGCGAGCAGGCGAGGCAGGACGAGATGCAGGCTCACGACGCTCTATAAGCGAGTCTGTTTGCTCAGTGTAAGGAGCAGGGAGTGGAGAGCATGGCCGTAACGGGAGGCCAGTAGAAGACAGGAGGCTAAGAACCTTGCGAAGCACGGAGTTAGGCAATGGTAGAGATGACGGTGACGGCGAAGTGAAGAACAGTCGTTGCTGTGCGGCACCACCAGCACCAGCACCCCCAGTATCAGCACCAGCAGCTCCAGCGCCTCCAGCAGCTCCAGAACCTCTAGCTCCAGCGCCTCTAGCTCCAGCGCCTCCAGCTCCAGAGCATGCAGCGCCACCAGCCCCGGCAGCTCCAGCACCTCCAGTACTAGCACCTCCGGGACCAGCGTGGCCCGTACCAGCAGCACCTCCAGCACTAGCAGCACCGGCAATTCCAGTACGGCCACTACCAGCACCTCCAAGACCAGCAGCTCCAACTCCAGGGCCGCCAGCCTCGACGCCTCCAGTGCCAGTGCCTCCAGCTCCAGCGCCTCCAGCTCTAGCACCTCCAGCTCCAGTGCCTCCAGAACCGGCACCTCCAGCTTCAGGGTCTCCAACTCCAGGGTCGATAGCACCAGCTCCAGGGCCTCCAGCTCCAGTGCCTCCAGCAGCAGCAACCCCAAACCGGCACCTCCAACTCCTACAGCACCACCAGTCCTGGCAGTTCCAGAACCTCCAGTACGAGCACCTCCAGAACCAGAAACACCAGTACTCTCAGCGCCTCCACGACGAGCAGCTCGAGTAGCTCCAACCGCAGCACCTCGAGCAGCAGGACCTCCAGCTCCAACAGCACGACTCCTCAGGCGGGCACGCCATGTAAGCCACTCTCGTAACTGCTATGGTGAGAGAGGCCCCCATAGGGAAAAGTGACCCGGAGAAATGCTAGCAGACTCAGGACTCTTCAAAGGTGACGTCCTGAGAGGACAGAACACTTCGTGAGGTGCGGTGGTAAAAGTGCCAGCCAAGCGCGTCAGGGGGGAGCCAAGGAAGACGCAGGGAATGGTGCGGAGGAGAGCTTGTCCGCGGACGTATCGCGGACAAGGGCACGAGCACCCTAGACCCGGAACACCGACGCATCGCCAACCTCTCCCGTCCAACGCAGTGTGGGCGAGGTCTGCGGAGACACGGAGCCAGAGGTTGAGCTGCTGCGCGGTGTACCGGACCGCAAATTGCCACAGAAAATGTGGAGCCGCTGCATGGATCAAAGAGGTACGAGCGATCTCCATGACCAAGCCAATGCGGCACTCAGCAACCCCATTTTACTGCGGTGAACGACTGTAGGACGCCCTTCCCCTAAAAGAAGGCCCGCAAGAGGTCGGAGGAGAACTCACCACCTCTACCAGAGTGCAGACGCAGGATAGGGAGGTCCTTGCGGAACCGCTCGCGGAGCTGGAGACGAACTGCTCAGATCCAAGGGATCAAGAAAGCAGGGACCTTATTATTGGTGCGCAAGGGGAAGACCGTGGTATAACGCGAGTAGTCGTCGACAACCAGCAAAAAGTACCGCTCACCGTCCCGTCCACGAACGCGGGCTGGGCCCCAAACGTCCATGTGGAGGGTCTGCAAGGGAGCCTCTGTCGAGGGAAACGAGGAGGAGTGAGGAGCGCGCTGCCGCCACTCGACACAAGGAAGGCAGGGAGGCGCAGGCGAGGCAGGGAGAGGAGGGAGAGACCTGGGAAGACCAGACACAAGGAGGTGACGGTGCGATGAAGATGTGGCAAAGAGGGGTGACCCAGACGGTGGTGCCAGAGAAGAGTCTGGTGCGACAGGGAGCGAAACGAACAAGGGGAGGCTACCTGACCTGACGCAGACACCTTACCAGTGGCAGCTACCTGAGGAGGCGCATTCACCAGTATGTAAAAACTCGACCCTGGCCATGGGTAAACGTGGCCAGGTGGCGGCCGGTCCGGGAGCACGTACTGATCGCCACACGCTGTCCTCCAAGGGTAAAGGTGTCAATCCTCTGGTCCTGGAGAACTGCGATGCTCACCAAGTTCGTAGAGAACGAAGGGAGGTGGAGGCCTAACAGTGAGCCAGACAGAACCACCGGGCACGGGAGCACAGTGGTGGACCGTGCAAGAACTGGGCCCCTTGAGGGATCAGCCAGAGAGACTGCAACAGGTGCAGTGAGTGGAGTGAGTGCAGTACGATCACAAAAAAAACAGCGGGAAGCACCTCAGTCAAGCGTGAAGATGTGCAAGGCCTTAGCAGGCGCAGTATCTGAGAGAGCAGACTCGCTCGCACCTAAGGCAGCAGCCTCTATACCTGGGTCAGGCGGCACACACAAGTAACAGTCTTCCTCAGCACTAATATTCAATGCATATATGGCAGCAAGGAGAGCATCATAGTCAAGAGCAGAGATGTCTACACCAGCCCTAAGCAACTCATGCCAGCGAGGGTGCTCGACTTCCTCGCCCATCTCCTCACGCCAGGCGTCGTCAAGGCGGGAGAAACAGCGGTGCTGGGTGTGGAACTTCCCGCATCTCTGACCAGCGTGGTCACCTGTGCGAATGACATAGAGGCAGCGACCACTACCCCCAGACGTCCCACTCTGAGCAAGCCACTCACGAAGCTACTGGGGCGTAAGAGCCTCACGGGGACATTGCTGCTGCTGCTGTCTCTGCCCAGCGCCAGCCCCTCCGCCCCGACCGCCACCACTGCCTCCACCGCCGCCCCGACCGCCACCGCCTCCGCCACCCCCTCCACCACCAATGCCTCCACCACCACTCCCACCACCGCCGCCGACGCCACCACTCCCGCCAGCACCCCCGCCACCACTCCCTCCGCCACCTCCTCCTCCTCCACCTCCTCCACCACCATCCCCCCCTGTGCCACTTCCGCTACTCTTGGCTCCCTTGCCCTTGCCGTCGCGGTGCCTCCCACTAGGAGCAAAAGCAGCACCAGCAGACTCAGCACCAAGGAAGTCAAAAGAAGTGGCAGTAGCTTAGGAGGGGGCGAGGGGAGAGGGAGAGCACCCTTCAAAGATGGGGTTGCGAGGAGCGCCACGAGCAGCACCCACAGTGACTATGCTAGTCTCGGCGGCTAGAAGTTGCTCCTCTAGGAGGTCGACAGTGAGATCGGTGGGACAGCGAGCGAGAAAGTGGTCCTTGACCGAGCGAAGAGAGTCAGGGAGACGGGTCACGATGAAGTGGAGGTTCCAGTACATCGGAGGCGGGTTCTTAGCTAAGAACTCTTTGGGGAGGGTGGCGCGAAGGCGAGTGTCACTGGTGCGGAGGTGGGTGATAAGATCGGCAACTGTGGCAAAGGTGGACAGCTCAGTAAACAGGTAGGGCAGCATGAGGCGGCTATGCGCAGCAGTGGCAGGGGAGGATTACTACAACATCGTACAGGGCCTTAGCGGTTTTGTGCTCGCCAAAATGCGTGAGTTCAGCTAACGTCAGGTGGTTGTGAACGGCTAGGCGAGCAGCAGCGTCACGAGTCTGCCACCGGGAATGGGCGCTAAGCTCAGCTGTGGCGGCAGGAGCGACTGAGGGACTAGACGTGTGGTCAAAGAGAGAGACATTGTCCTTGCTATAGCTCATTAGGAATAGCTGCAGGTCATCGAGCCAGGTCTCAAACTGAATCGGGCGGCCCTCAATATCAAACGACAGAACGCGGAGGGTGGCCATAGCTGCTGGCGCGGGACTGGCAAGGCAAAGCGATTGCAGGAAAGCAGCACTAGCAAGGGCGGCGCGCTGGGCTGAAGCGGGCGGCCGCAATAGGGGCAGGCGCAGAGGCGGCGCGCGGGCTTAGTGGGCAGGCGGCGCGCGGGGCCTAGCGGGCGGCCGAAACAGTGGCAGGCGGCGCACGGGGCAGCAGGCGGCGCACGGGGCAGCAGGCGGCCGGCGAGGCAGCAGGGCGGGCGGTGTGCTGGGCGTAGCAGGCGGCCGCGGCTGTGGCAGGCGGCGCTCGGGGCTGCAGGCGGCCGGCAGGGCAACAGAGCGTGCGGTGCGCGGGGCGTAGCAGGCGGCCGCGGCTGTGGCAGGCGGCGCGCGGGGCTGCAGGTAGCGTGCTAGAGAAAACGCGCGCTGCAGCAGTGGCGCGCGGCCAGCAGTGGCAGCGCGCAGGTGGCGTGCTCGAGGCAGCGCGACGCGGGGTAGGGCAGTGGGGTAACGCGGTAAGCACAGTCGGAATGGTGGGCCCGAAAAAAAAGTACGGTCCTACGGACCTACTGCTCTGAAACCATGTCAGAATCAGAGGCTAGAATGACAGCATTGAATGAATTGTGGGTACAAGTACTAACCCTAATATTGGGTTGTACCCCATATGGGCTACCCCACTATAGCCTACACAGAACTAACACATATATAGTTTGACAAATCATGCTGATACGGAACGGCACTTCAGGCTCTGGAGTGAAGATCTGATGTACATGCCCAGAGAGCAAGGAGGACTAGGAGTTATTGATCCGCGAGGGCGTGTCGACAGTGTGGCTCTGAGGTGTGCAGGTCTATCGTTGCGGCAGGAATGTGCGTTCAGGCGGGGGTTGTTCGGAGCAGGTGGCAGGGCTGCCCCTTGGCTAGGCAACGTTATATGCGCATAAGGCGGTGTTGCGAGGGGGGTTGTTCAAAACCAGGAGATGGGCAAGGCTGTGCAAGGCAGTTTTGAAGTCTACGGTGGTGGAGGTGCCGGTGGCTTCGTCGCGATGGGAAACAGAAGAGGAATTTCTGTGCTACAACAGCAACATTATCCACCCAGGGAATGCCCCGTTTGGTGGACTGAAAGGGACGGAGAAGCTGCGGGGGTGGAAGATGCCCGATATGGTGATGAGGAAGTGGGGTGGTACTAAGGTGCCGAAGTCGGAAGAGACGCTCGCGAGGGAACTGGAAGGAAAAAAGGAGGCGGAGATGGCACTTAAGGCTTTTCACGTGGCGTCGGAGAAGTGGCGTCAGTGGGTGCTGGCACCTCTGGTGGCAGAAGAGGTAGTGGGCCAATCATCTATGGTGTGTACTAAACTTCCAAGCGGGCATAGGTGCCTATGGGAGGTCTGTGGCAAACTGGGAAAGAAGGTGGAGCTCCGCGGGCTAAGCAGACGAGGGGAACGTACTGCATGGGATGTGAAGCTGGTGTTATGTTACGGCAGTATGGTACCAGTGAGGCTATCCAAAGCTCGGGCAGTAAGAGAAGTCGGGGATCCGAGGACACGGTTACCAAGTTCGACACTGTTTAAAGAGGAGGATGTGGCACCGCCGAGAAACTCAGAGAGCCGAGCGAGGGAGTGGAAGTAGTGGAGGTGAAAAGGATGAATTGGGAAGCTCGGGCGGGCAAGAAAATCAATTGGGGGCGGGGGAGAAAATTCCGTGACTCACTAGTGGTCCCAGCCAGGACAAGGGATATGCTGCTCCGTGTGAAAAACCTCAATCTCCAAGTTGGAGAGAGGGTTTCATTCCTGAATGGGGGGGTGAAGTGCGCGAATTGCAGTTTGGAAGAGACGATGGAGCACTGTTTGCTTGAGTGTGTGAGCATCGCACCGGTGGTTGGGGCAGTCAAGTCGGCGCTCACCATGATGCAGCCAGCAAGGCGGGTTGACAGTTTGGCAGATTTTGTTTTCGGGCAGATTTTGTTTTCCCGAAGCTACTATGGCGGCAATGGAAATGCTCCAGATCTGGTTGGGTTGGTGTGACGTGTCTCTCCGTAAGGTGAAGAAGTTTTAGGCACTGAAGGTGCTTCGGAGGATCAACGTGGAATTCAACAAGCATGCAAGGATCTACTGCAGCAGACCGAGCAGACAAACGCGGAAGGATAAGGCGAGGTGGAACTTGGCAGATGCTGAGGCACGTGTCATGCAGCGGATTTGTGACAACGGGGCAGTAGGGTTGAGGTGGCAAGGTTGTTCCCAGTCCATCTGCTCAAACCCGAGGACCTTCGTGAGACCACCATAGAGTTCGCAGGGAGGGCTAGGTGGTTTTCACCCAGCTTGAGCCCTGCTGCATCAGTTACGAATGTAGCGTTTTGCCTGTACAACTTCTTGTAAAAAAAAAAACAAACAAACAAACAAACAAAAAAAAAAAATTTGACACTCGTCTCCAGGCGGCCCGCAGACGTGAGCGTGAGGAGCATGAGAGGTTGGAGCTAGAGAGGCGGGAGTTGCAACAGTTGGACCTGCAGGAGCAATAGGAGGAGGAGCAACAGCAGCCGCCGCAGCTATCTCTCGTACTGCAATTGTTCCTAGTCGTGAGTGGCCTTCAGGCCCTTAGTTTTCCCTCCTCTTCTCCTGTCCGCTCTCAGTCTCCCCCTGCCTTCGGTCCAACGTTTCCTCCTCCGGACGCGTCACCCGTCGTTTCCTCTCTTCCTCGGTTCCCATCTCCTCCCATTGTCCCGCACTCCCATGTCCGTCCCTGTCCTCCACGTGCTCGCCCTTCCTCTCCTACTGACAACCTCCGCACTGCCCTCTTTTGTTCTAGTCATCGCTATTCTCCGCCTGAGTCTGTTCTCCCGTCACTTCCTAAGTTGTCTCTCACTGACTCCTCTACTACTATCTCTGACCACCACTGTGCTGCTCGCCATGTTGTCTCTCGTGTCCTCGCCTCTCTTGTGAATGACCCTCGTGCCTCTCCGTCGTCTGTCTCGGCTCTTACTATCACTGTCGGTAACTTTACTACGCCACTCGTCTGGTGGCTGCCCGTCCTCTGTCCGTTGGGGGTGAGTCTGCCCTTGGATGTGACGTCCTAGAGGACAAGCAGTTTGAGTTGGAGTTCATAGCAGCCGCTTCACCCTCTCGCTGGGCCATGCTGCTTTCCCCTGAGGGAGACCCGGACGCCCTTGACATACCGATTCCTTGCACGTACCGTAAGGTAGTGTCACGGGAGTGGGCCTCTCAGTTGAAAGCGGCTATGGACTCAAGTTGGCTTCTTGGAGATCCACAAGCACCTACGTGGATGCAGTTCCCCCTCCTATGGCGAACGTTTTCAATGACATGTGGCTCTTCAAGGTGAAGCGGACACGTGGATCACCGCCTGCGTTCAATGTGCACTGCGTGGCTAGGGGCTTCAGCCAGCATGAGAGAGTTGCCTTCTTCCAGACCTTCACCCTGACCCCGAAGATGACGACTCTTCGGGTGTTACTTTACGTAGCAGCACGGCGATACTACGAGCTGCATTTTCTCGACTTCACTACGTTTCTCCATGGCCGCCTACATGAGGAGATCTGGCTGCGACGTCCTCCTGGCTTCACTGACATCTTCCCACTTGAAACCCAGTGAAGTCTTAGGCGACCAGTCTACGGTCTCCGCCTGTCGCCCCGTGAGTGGTACGACGCTCTTCGCTCCACACTTCGTGACCTTGGGTTTCGTCCTTCCTCTGCCAAACCGTTGATGTTTATTCGCACTAGCCACACTCCTTTCTTTATACTGGTCTACGTCGACGACCTGGTGTTTGCTACTGCAGACAGGCAGCACTAACTAAGGTGAAATCCGAACTACAAAAGAGTCACACGTGCACTGACCTCGGTGAACTGCATCACTACCTTGGCCTGCAAATCACCAGGGACAGAGCCGCTCGCACCATCACACTGACTCAGTCACACATGGTGCAGCAGGTCCTTCAGCGGTTCGGGTTTCAATTTTCCACCACACAGCCCACTTCTCTTGCCGTCGACCACAGACTCACTGGCCCTTTTCCTGACGAGCCCTTGAGTTCAGTGGTCCCTACGCAGAGCTTGTGGGCTGCCTCATGTACTTGATCAATTGTACTCGACCGAACCTTGCCTTTCAACTCAGCGTCCTCTTTCGCTTTGGTGCGACTGTTGGTGCAACCCTACGGTTTGCACTCGGCTTGTTCTCCGTGTGCGTGCATGCGTGTGTGCATGGAATGGAAGAAGTGCATGAGATGATATATATTTCATGCTTGTGTGTGTATGATGGGTCATGATGTCGAGTGTGTGTGTGTGTGTGTCGAGTCAATAGCGAGTTATCGCTAGTCGCGTGTTACGCGATCATTTGTGAGTCCCGTGCGGTTTCTATTTTGTCGTCCGCGGTTTCTATTTTGTCGCTTGTCGAACGTTCTGCGTGTCGCAGGTGTGTGCAGCAGACCCATCAAGAACTCAAGGATGAGTTTTGTGATGAGGAACCGGAGCCTTGGTTCAAGCTTCAAGTGATTCCGAAGCTCGCCAAAAGGGTACACCTCAAGATGTTGAAGATAGTTCCATTACAATGTGTAGTGTAACAATTCTGCTGGTGTAGACCCTTGTGGAGGGTAGTTTCGAGACCCTTCGTGGTTGGGGATAGTGTGGCACTGTTCCACATCACTGTACCTCGGCTCTTGGGGTTTGTAGGAGCTGGGAGTCATTCCCAACTCCTAACTCTTGCTAACTCTTCCTATCTTGTGTTCTAAGACAATAGTGGCTGCCATAGTGCCGTTCGTTCAAACCAACGCTGTGTCGACAATACTTGGTAAAATCGTGCGATCTAAATTGCCTATTGTAGGCGACGTTAAGACGCTCCGGATCCAAGTTGAATCAGGTCATTTGAAGCTGTGACAAAAACGCTATTGTGAGGATCTAGGATCGAGCTCAGAAAAGAGAATGAGAATTGAGTCGAATTGAA